TGTTGGCTCTTTTTCAGAGTGGTGGTGTGCAACCTCTACCCCTTTGTGAAGACTATCTCTAGCCCGGATGTTACAGTGGAGGATGCTGTGGAGCAGATAGATATTGGTGAGTCGGGTTGTAGCTTAGTAGTCCATTGTATCCTAATAAAACAGAAACATAAAAAAATTTCAAACATTGCTTCAATAGCAGAAAGTATCAGAAGTTTCATGCGTTCAACTGTATTAAAAATCACATTTATTCCCCCACCTTATTAATGGTGAAATCTTGATTTTTATCTATTTATTTTATTTTTCTTTCTTCTTCAGGTGGAGTAACTCTCCTTAGAGCAGCTGCCAAAAATCACGCTCGAGTCACTATTGTGTGCGATCCTGCCGACTATTCGCTGGTTGCCAAGGAGATGGAGGGTTCAGAGGAGAGAGACACCACCCTGGAAACTCGCAGAACTCTGGCCCTTAAAGTACGTGGTTGGTTTTGTTTTTCCCAAGCACCATTTTAACTTTCAAGGATGTGAGAGAAACACACACACATCTTCAAACCCAACTCCCTCTCAGCTGCTGTTGATATGTGGTGTCTTTTTAAAAAGCTTCAAAAAGACTTAAAGGGATTGGAAGTATGTTCTAACTCGTCACTTTATTAAAAAGAAGTTACAGTAGCTGTGTCTTTGTAATGTTTTACAGTTACTAGTTTAGTTAGCTGTTTTAATATTTTAACCAACCACTTTCTGACATATTAAAGTTCAAATGATTGAAAGATTAGCCAAGGAAATCATTTTCAGATCAGTTGATAATGAAATAACCTGTCGGTTGCTAACAGAAAGACAGGAAACTAACTCAAATTCAAGAGTTGTAAATTTAGAAAGTGCCATTTAAAGTTAGAAGAAGTTAAGTTGTGTGTTATTACCATATTTCATAATCACACTAACATAAAAGTGTCTGTTAATTCCACAGGGTCACTGTTGAGACTTGTTCTTAAAAAGATTATTCATTCATGCCTTTGTTTTTTTAGAGGTATGAGCCCCTGTCTTATAACAGGCCTCCAGAGCGCACATGTGACCAAAATCTGAAATGCAACTAAACAATTCTCTGTGATGATCACCAAACAGTATCTTTTCTGATGATTTGCTCACATCTGTATTTGTTTTAGAGGTGAAGGTCAGTGAAAGGCAAAGTCCAGTGCAGCCTTTTTTTTTATCACAAGTTGAAATGTGTTCAGGTTGCAGAGTTAAACATATGACACCCTGTGAACTTTCACCTTGTTAAGAATGAACTGAGTTTTGGCTCATATTGTAGTCATGACCTTGTATTAAATGTCCAGTTGTTGAGCTTTCTAACTGTGTTTTCTGTCCTCAGGCTTTCACGCACACAGCACAGTATGATGACGCAATATCAGACTACTTCCGCAGAGAGTACAGCTCTGGTGTTTCCCAGCTGCCTCTGCGTTATGGCATGAACCCCCACCAAGCGCCTGCCCAACTCTACACCCTGCGCCCAGCCCTCCCCCTCAAAGGTCGACCCAGATCACACCTGTCCCAGCTGACCTGAATGAGTCTTTGAAATAATTAGTCGTTTTTGAAATACACTGTTTTGTTTCAGCCAGTAAGCCCCTCACATCGTCTCCTTGAAGACAAAGCAATTGCCGACAGTCAATGAAACGTCGATTTGACTCAGATCTGGGGCTTTTGTCTGTGAATTCCAAAACTCATCGGCAACCGGAAAATCAGGCTAAAGAATGTGTTGTGTGAACTTAACTGGCAGAGAATTAGATGCTTAATAAATTGCAAATTATTCAGCTTCAGAGTTAATTATCGCCAAATCTTCTTACATGTGGACAGAGCCAGGCCAGTTGTTCTCAGTCTTTATGTTAAACTTAGAAACTCAGCTGCAGTGTAGAATTTATTGACACATGTGACAACGAGTTTCTTTTTCTGTCCTCCAGAGAATGAACAGGTCTATATTCTGCAAAGTCAAACTTATGCATGAACATAAACTTAGATGAGATAAACTCAGTGAACAGTTCACTTTCTTCATTGAACTGATGTTATCCAGACTAACAGTGACCCTATTCAGACTTGATCAAATCTCTGGGGACAGATGTGAATACTGCATCTGAACTGAGTGTAACAGACATAAAGAACGAGGTCACCAGAGTTTAGATTACAAATAAACCTTTTTTTTTCCTGGTCTGCCTCAAATAATGAGTTTAGTGATTCACAAGTAAAATAAATAAAATTCTGTGTGTGATAGAAGATATTTCTGTTGGCAGCAAGTGTGAAGCAAGGTAATGAACAATTACAACTTATTTTTCCTTTTCATAAATTCATTTTGATTTTCAGTGGTCAATGGTTCCCCCGGCTTTATCAACCTGTGCGATGCCCTGAACGCCTGGCAGCTGGTCAGAGAGTTAAAGAGTGCCCTGGGCTTGGCTGCTGCCACCTCCTTCAAACATGTCAGCCCTGCTGGTGAGACAAAGAGAGACACACTCTTTAAGAGACACACTTAACAGTCAAAACATGGACATAGAGAAAAATACCTTAAATCCGAAAAAAAACCTTTTCCCATTTCTTCTGAAGGAGCTGCTGTAGGAGTTCCTCTGACTGAGGAGGAAGCCAGAGTGTGCATGGTGCATGACATGTTAAAGGATCTCACCCCGCTGGCCACAGCCTACGCCAGAGCAAGAGGTGAAAATAGAACCATACAGTAGTTTTCCTGGAGTTTGTGCCTTAAACTTTTTTAGCGTGGAGCTGCATTAACGCTGTCTGCATCACCAGGTTCTGACAGGATGTCTTCTTTTGGAGACTTCATCGCTGTGTCAGATGTGTGTGACGTTCCCACTGCTAAGATTATATCAAGAGAGGTAAAGACTTGTGTCAAAGCAGTAACATCTTAAAAAAGTTTCTTTGCTGCGAGTATAGTTACATTTTTCTGCAACATTGTTTTCATTCAATCAATTGTTCTCAGGTGTCTGATGGTATCATTGCTCCTGGTTACGATGAGGAGGCGCTCAAGATCCTCTCCAAAAAGAAAGGTGGAAAATACTGTGTACTTCAGGTAAAGATTTTGTCAATCATACTGTATATGCCGACTTAAATTTGCTGTTTGAGTTGATATTTTTCACCATTTATGTGTTTTCGTCTCAGATGGATCCAGATTACGAGCCTGATGAGGCTGAGGTGAGAGTGTTATTTGGTCTCCATCTCAAACAAAAGAGGAACGGAGGCCTTATTGATAAGGAATTCTTCAGCAACATTGTTTCCAATGGCTCGGTAGGTCAAAATTTTCGTATTATTTTTAATAACTTAATTACTAGCGATACAATCAGACTTAAATAATTGTTCACACTTTGACCTTTTCTGTGTCCACAAGCTTTCTGAGGAAGCGGTGCGTGACCTCACAGTGGCCACGATCGCCGTCAAATACACTCAGTCCAACTCTGTCTGCTATGCTAAAGATGGACAGGTAAGAACAGGCGGGAGAATGAAATCAAAATGAGCCATATTCGTCTTTCACTAATTTGTTTCTCGTTTTTGTTTTACAGGTCATTGGTATTGGGGCGGGTCAACAGTCTCGTATCCATTGCACACGGCTGGCAGGTGACAAAGCTGATAACTGGTGGCTGAGGCACCACCCAAGTGTCCTGGACATGAAGTTTCGCACCGGTGTGAAGCGGGCGGAGATGGCCAATGCAATCGACCAATATGTGAGCAACACTATTGGAGAGGTAAGGACCGTCACAGGCTCTTTTCAGTCTAAGCTAGATTCACGTTTCACTATAAAAAAAAAAATGCAATTATACCTTTAATCTGCTGGTCAGTCCGTGTGTTGTCTGTTATAATTTTGGTTTTTGGAGCACTTGTCTTGATTCTGTGTATTTTGTGTTGCCAGGGTCCCGACCTGGAAATATGGAAGTCGATGTATGAAGAGGTGCCTGAGCCTCTGTCGGAGACTGACAAGAAGACCTGGATCAGCTCCCTGCAGGCAGTGGCCGTCAGCTCTGACGCCTTCTTCCCCTTCAGAGACAACATAGATCGTGCCAAACGGGTAAATAACGCATTTCACAAACAACTTACTGACTCAAATTAACATTTTATGTCAAAATCAAAACATTTTCTCTCAAAATAGCAATATTTTATCTAAAAATAATGATAATTTTTGTCAAAATCACATTTTATCTCAAAACAATGACATTTTATCTAAAAATCACAAAATTTTATCTCAAAATAATTCTTGAATCTCGACATCTTCTATTGCACCTCTTTTTCATCCTGAGATATTTCTATTCTATTTGATTATTTTTGTTTGTTTTGCATCTGTCGCTTGTTTAAAAGCATCATCATGTTCCAGACACTTCCTGCTGTGTCCTCACAGGGTCACACTGACATTTTACTTGGGGTCTGTTACTTGTGCATGTCTGAGAGCAGCTTAAGAACTTTCCAACCGCCTTCACTAACGCCTCTCTGCTCTGTGTGTGTCTGTAGAGTGGTGTAGAGTTCATCGCTGCTCCCGCAGGCTCTGCTGCCGACCAGGTTGTGATCAAAGCCTGTAACGAGCAGGGCATCACTCTGGTCCACACCAACCTGCGGCTCTTCCACCACTGAGCATCTTGTTTTTCCAAGTTTGCTTATTAGGGTAATTAGGGTATTAGGGTATCATTGCTGTTACTTAGAACATTCCTACCTGCATCATGCAAAATTTACGAGGTTTTGCAACACTAACTGCATCCCTGACTTGTGAACCTAACATTAGACACAAACTGTTAATTGTATGTTCATCACATTTCAGCGTTAAATAAACTGTAAATGACAGTTAACAGGTATTTTGTCTGTTTTTAGTTTGCTGGCCTCATAGTCAGTGGGTCCAGACTTTAATATATCAACTATTTGATGTATTTGTCTGTAATCCAAAAACATTTGGATTTTTGAAACTTTACAATCATGTTAATTGAATAGTTAAGTTGTGCCTTTGATATTTCTCTCATTTACAAAAACCAAACAACACTGAGGTAAGGTTTCAGGATTTCTCCAGCTTTATTAAAACAAGGGACTTCTTTCTGTCAAAGATAGAAACAACTTTGGCACTGACAACAAAGTACAAAAATAGAACAGTTCAAATTCTCACATCCCAGTTCACACATTCACACCTTGAGATTAAAGGGATAAATTAGTACAAAGATATTTGGGGATAAGAAAGTGTCAATCACACACAGTGCGACCCCTAGGGGACAGAAGAGGGGCTACAGAAAAAGAGAAACACTTCTTCATGGACAAAGCTACATTGACATTCTTTAGCAGTGCTTACTTTCTGACAGCTTTTGTTCTTTCGATAAGGAAATGTTTTAGAATTCTTAAATCAGAAACAAATGCCAGTTTGACAAGAGTATAAATATGACACAAGCCCGAAATTACTTCCATGGATGGAAACCTTACAAAATAAAAATTTAGAGAATTTGATAATGATAATAAAAGCTAATGATTAAGGCAGCAAGGCGGTGTAACATCTTTGGCGAGAAGTGTCAGAAAGTGATCAGGCAGTTGGTTCGGTCCAGTCACAGACAGCGTGGCTTCTACAGGGAGAGACAGTGCAGCGTTTGGACGGTGAGGGAGCAAAGCAAATGTCGGACGACTGATCCTTTTATTCCCGGGGAACTGGTGGAGCGAGTGCATCTGCCAGCAGCTCGGGTCGGAGGCACTCGATGGGGCAATGAATATTCTGCAGGAAAATTTAAAAAGGTAAGTCTTCACCACCATTGTGAATGAAAATCATCAACATTCGATTTCTCTGTTTTAATGAAGAGTTGCTACGTATCTTTAAGTACTTAATGATGAATTGGACTGACCATTTTGTGCAGGGTGTTTTCTCCATATCTCACAGGCTGCAGCAGACTGGCATCAACATCAGCACCTGGTCTGCGGCAGTTCTCACATCGCCAGCCCTGATGAGACAAAACATTCTTCAGCCACATGTGTCTACACGTTTCATTCCATTGATTCAGGATAACGAGCATCACACTGAACATCAGAACCAGATAGAGTGAGGCTGATGTGTTGTACCTGTTGACCCCCAAAGCATGTGCAGGTACAGATGGCGCCCAGGTACTCCTTCTGCCAGTGGTTGCCCACCTGGTACGTTTTCCCTTCATCATAGCACGTGGATTCATCTGTGATGGAGTACGAGCATGTTAAAATTCACACGCAACTTCTCAAACAGTCATAGAACATTTTATTGGGTGGATGGGAGGCCTTACGTGGTTCACACTTGAACTCTCCTTTGCCGTTTCCCAAACAAGTGCAGCTCATTAAGTGACCATTCTCTGCACGGCGGTCCCACTTCTCTCCAATGCGATGGTTGACGCCGTTGTCATGGCACCACTCTAATCAGAGAGAGAATAATACGAATAATAGAATTATCAATAATAAGTCAGTAAGTTGTTATTTTGAGTCAGTAAGTTGCTATTTTGACATAAAATGTTATTTTGAGAGAAAGTTTTATTTTAACAAATTGATTAACTAAACTTTCTTATGACACTGACTTAAAGGATTTTTTTTTTAACAAAATGGCAGAATCTGACTTCCATGCAGATTACAAATATGTCCTGAAAATCAAGTGTCCAAAACTTACTGGATGAATCACATCTGAAGTGGCCACTTCCCAGACCCAGGCACTTGCACCACAGCTTGAAGCCGGTCTCGGACATCCGCTCCCACTCAGCGCCAACGTCATGGTGGGTTGCAGTAAAGGCATCATAACACGAGTCCCCGGTGGAGGGCCCTCCTTCTGGGACTGGAATATGAGGAAGAGCAAATGAATGGATCTTGATGAAACAAATCTGGCATGATATGAATGATATCTGTGTGTGCAATTTGGAGCAGATCCAGATCTAGTGAATTCAGATTTGGTTTCATAAGGTGCCTGTTGGGCAGAGGTGGAGTTCTGCTCTCTTCCTTTCAGAAAGAGTTGACCAACCTTTTTATACACGCTGGAGTTCCAACCTAATTAGCAGGTGTTTGATTCGTTTACACTCAGCAGTAGCTGTAGGTCACTTACTTGTGTTTCCAGCAGTGACAACCTGCTCCAGAATCTTGTGTTTGAGCGCCCCCATCAGAGCCTCCACGAGCACCTTGTAGTTCGCTCCAGGGGTGAGTCCTATCAGGGTGGCTGTGGTGGCTGAGTTTGGCAGACGGACCTGGACAGGCAGAGACAGCGATGAGGTTACATTACATGAAATGAGAGTTTTCATGTAATATAACTGATGATTATCACTGGAAGCTAACACCCTCGTCTCTTACCTGGAACATCTTCTCATTTAATTGTGTGAGAGGTTGGCAGGACACCAGGTAGGCGTTGCTCTGACTGTAAGGCTTCCAGGAGATGGTGGTCTGAGTTTGGGCCTCCTGTGGCACCCCTGTGTCATTACCAAACGCGGAGCCAACGGGCACGTTCAGCTTCAGTATGGGCAATCTGCGGCCCTCTGCATCAGGGAGGGGCACAAAGACCAGGGGCTCACGCACTTGCCCATAGGGGTATTGTGGGTGGCCACTGTTTCCATTAAACTTGTTGTCTCCATTGTTGTTGTACTCTGTGTACTCCACATGCTGGTTGTGATCGCCAAGCCCATCCTGGCCATTGGGACCCACTACATGGACTCTATTGTCCAAGTGAGTTTCTGGCACATCCAGCTTGTCATCACCAGGGTGGTGGGGCAGAGGCAGGGGAAGCAGGGAGCTTGGTTCTGGGCGGAGAGACGGGGTTAGGGAAGCAGTTAGACGAGGTGGGTGAGGGGGTTGTAAAGCAGAGCTGCTGTTACATATCTCTGCCAGCAGGGAGTGATGGATATGCAGCATTACTGGGGTTCTGTGTCATGAATATTGTAATATTGCAAACACACAGGATATATTTTGAATGACTTGATTTCTGTTGGCATTCAAAATAAAATATTAAAAATATTATTATTTTAGGAGCCTGATGCTGTTTGACTGCAGTTTATCTCAAAGCCTCTGAGCAGATTAAAGCTGCCTGTCAAACCCATTTTTACAGTTTACCCTTACCTGATTTCAGTTTTATTCCTTTGCTAAATAATTCAAACAGGTATCTTTTACCATTACATTTGTCACAGTACAGAAGGGAAGTGTGATAATACTCACGAGTCCTGATTCTGCCCACCAGAGGCGTGCTTCTCTGTGTGTTCTGGATGGCAATGATCTTGATGATGTACTCTGTGCTTGGTTTCAGGCCTGATGAGAGGAACAGTTATCCCTCAGTGGAACAGTTAGGATGCACTCGACTCATGTTGACATGTGAGAAAATAATAATAAGCAATGGAACCCACATGAAGCAGATTTTTATAAATCTGGCACATGTTTGCGAGCACCTACCAGAGACGGTGGCGTAGTTTTGACCAGCGTGGGGTTGAGGGAACAGCTCCCGTGGCGCTCCGTATTGCTCCTCGTAGGTGATGTAGTATCCTGTGATCTGCGTGGCAGGAGGCTGCCAGGTGAAGGAGATGGAGGTGGGGGTCATAGATGTGAACTGAATGTTGGTGGGAGCCTGGACCACTGGTTGAGCTGTGAAGAAAAATACACACCGGGTAATCTGGTTATTATTCTATATCAGTCCGTATGGATTGGGCAGATGCCAGTATAAATGTAGATGAGGCTGGATATTTTACAGTTAAATCCTAAACTTCATTATAACTATAAATAAAAAGAAAACAACCAAATATATGGAGCTTGAAAATAAAATTTAAGATTTTTTCTTACCCGACATATAAAAATAAATACACATATTTTCCTGCATTGTTTATTCTGTGTAGTAAAAGTATTCATAATGGCAAACATAACGAAGACACCACATGGCTGTTAAGTGGTTATAAAAGCCAATTTTGGATGGATAGGTTTGTGTAGTACCTGTTTGAATTGTGAGCGTAAACGGGGCGCTCCTTGTGTTGCCATTCAGAGTGTACAGATTAACAGTGTACGTGGTGCCAGGCTGCAGACCTGAGGGAAAAAAGCAAGTTACACTGTAAAAAAGAAATAAACCACACCTCCCAAACTCCTCCCATCTTTTAAAGGTTTAAGCCGTGGCGTTGTACCTGTGAGTGTGTAGGTGCGTGTCTCTCCTGGGATGGTCCTGCTGATGGTTGGGCGCGAGCCACCGACAGGCGTGGCATCGATCAGGAAACCACTGATGGTTTCTATCTTGGTGCGCCAGTTCAGGGTGAAGGAAGAGTCCTTCACATCAGAGATACGCACACGGCGAGGAGGACTCACATCTGTGATAAGGAGGAGAGGAAAACCGACGTGAAACAGAGCAGTGGATGATAATCGGTGATGACTGGAAATGTTTCTCATTCATGGTGCAGCCAGTGACCTTCCAGCGTGGTGGTCTCTCCCTCCAGTGGTCTGCTGGAAACAGAGTTCTTCAGAGCGTAGACCTGTATCTGGTATGTGGTTGCCACCTACGATACAGAGACACACAGCTGATACTTACTTACTCACTGACTGACTACGAACCTGTGTAAATAGACCAGACATGTGTTTACCATGAGCCCGGGTACGACGACACGTGTGGTGTCTGGAGCAACATTCATCTCTTTGGTGGGGCTGTTGATGTTCTTGGGGATGACGACCACGCGGTAGCCCGACAGGCGAGCAGTGGGGGCTCGCCATGACACAGTGAAGGTAGAGGGACCGACCTCAGAGATCACCAGGTCGGTCGGAGCAGGGATCACTGAGAGCAAAAGCAAAAAAAGCATTTTAGAGTTGGACTCAGGGAATAAATAAAGTCATGATTGAGTTTTCTACAGAATGTATTTCTACCTGTGGCCTGAGTTCCCACTAAGGGTGTGCTGGGTTTGCGGCCATGGAGAGCGAAGACTTTCACCGTGTACTCGGTCCCGGGACGAAGGCCTCTCAGCAACACACTGTCCTGGTCAGGTCTGGGTGCAGGACGCAGCTCCTTCTCACCCTCCTCTGAGCTGGAGTACGTGACGCGGTATGATGTCACTGTGCCATCGGGGCTGTCCCAAGTGATGCGCATAGAGGTGGAGTCGATGTCGGAGAAGGTCAGGTCCTTGGGACGATCCATAGCTGCAGGAAGGGAGGGAGTCATTCCAGCTCTAAGCAGTTGTTTTTATTTAAAGAACATATTCACCTCTGATGCAATGAATAGAGCTTAAAAGAAAGTAGTTGTGGGCTTTAAATGAAGAGGTTCTATATAGATAATATTACATCTAAAATCATTTTAATCAAGTTTGTTTTTTTAACCGCATGATTTTGTTTGCCTTATTTCAGAAATAGTTCAACCTTGCTTGAAAAGTGCAGTATAAATACATTTCATCCAAACGATATAATAATAATAGTTATTATTATTACTACACACTGAAAAAAACTGGCAGAGCATGTTTTATCAAAACAGTCCCTGAAATGAAGCCAGTCTGAAATGAGTCAAACTAACCAGTGATGGTGTTGTCCACTGCAGGGGAAGAGGGCTGTCCATCGTTGCCCAGGGCGTAGACACTAACAACGTACTCGACAGTGGGCATCAGACCTGTGAATGTTATCTGTGTCCGATCTGTAGCAGAAGAGCAGGAAAGAATCAAATGAGGACAGGATGTTCTGGTTCTATATTTTAACAAAGGTGTCAGTCTGGTTGTGAACAGTTGTTTTTCTTACCAGGTGCCACCACCTCATCGTAGGAGGGTCCCAGCCCGTTCTTTGGCACACTGGTGACCCTGTAGCCTCTGATTGGCCCCTGAGCAGGAGACCAGCGCACTGTGATGGCGTTGTCGCTCACATCAGTTACTTTCATGTCAGTGGGAGTCTCGATATCTGAAGGAGAGATGGACACATGACGTCGTAGTTTAAACCCCTCAACAGTAAGTTTTTTTGTTTTTAGGAGGTGTTGGTCCATGTTGCTGTACCAGTCTTGTGTGTGATGTAGACCGGCGTGTTGGAGGCAGGGCTGTCCCCTCGTGAAGTGACGGCGTAGACCGTGATGGTGTAATCAGTACCGGGATTGAGACCAGTGATGGTGGCGGTGGTCTGACTGCCCGGGATGTTGAATTCTTGAGGAGTCTCGCCACCTAGAACCGGAGAGAGATGAAGGGTTGAGTGTTAAACTCAGAATATGGCTGAGGTCTTTGAGGAAGCTATGAAAACACCGGTACTGACTTGTCCCTCCGTAGGTGATCCGGTAGTTATTCACTGTGACCGAGGGAGCGTCCCAGCGGATGGTGATGCTGGTGGGGGTGGACGATGTTACCTCCAGATCAGTGGGAGCATCAGAGACTGAAAAGAAATAGAAGAGGAAAGAGGTGCTAAAACAAAAATCATGATTCAGCTGTTGAAGATCAGCGGCAGAAGAGAACCAGAGGTGATGGTAGAAACCAGTGTGGAGACTCACTGGTGGCCTGTGTGCCAGTGAGAGGCTGACTCTCCTGATTGTTGTTGACAGCATACACATTTATCAGGTACTCCGTCTCTGGTGTCAGTCCAGTCAGGGTGAAGCGGTTCCTGGTCGGGGGCAGCCTCTCGTCCTTGGTCCGCCCGCCGCTCGTCTGCTGGTAGCGGATGCGGTAGCCGGTGATGGCTGCGGTTGGAGCGAGCCAGTGAACAGTGAAGGAGTTGGTCTGGATCTCAGAGAAGTCCAAGCCAGTGGGGGAGTCCAGAGCTGGAGGGGAAAGAATTAGGAGATTTAGAAAAATGTATTATTATGAAGATAATAATAAGTAATGACAAGTGAAATAATGAATTTAAAAAAATCTGTGGGTTTCTGAAATGAAGTCAAGCTAAAACTTAGTACCATGAATATCTATTATTTTATTTATTTATTTTATTAATTTCTAATGGACTAACTAGACAAAAAGAAAAATAATAAAGTGACATGTATGAACAATAATATAGAACTAATTATAGAAATAGTGAAATGAATCAAACACATCTGACAAAGGAACTGCTGATGAAAATGAGCATTTCAGCAAACTGTTAATGTTATCGTCCCTTTTCAAATTAAGTTTCAAATTAAATCGGTGTACTCTAATACATTGGCCTACGTTTAAATTAATAAACCTGCAATAAAAAAAAGTGCAAAGGTTAATGATTTGAGTTCATTTGCAGTTAGATTTTGTTCATTCAAATTACAAATTCTCATATTTAAATCCTTTTTTTCTGTTCAAATGCAGAACAGTCCTGTTATTTGTCTTAACTGCAGCATAATGAAATATTTAAAAGGTTTTCTTTATGGTGATGTTTGCCTCTGTCTCGATATATTAAAAACAGATGAGTTAATGTAACATCTTGATTTTTGTGTGATGAAATATTGTAAAAAACATAAGTAAAATATGAACTAAACTTGCAGCACCCACTGTGTTAACCCACTGTCAGACTCACTTGTCCTCTGAGTTCCTGTGGCTGGTTGACTTTCTCGTTCACCGTACACATACACCACACTGATGCGGTAATCTGTGTTGGGCAGCAGATCTAACAGGAAGTAGTTATTATGGAGCGTGAACGACTTGACATTGAGCAGTTCAAAGAAATACAACTTATTTTGGCCTCTTGAAGACACAATCCCTTTGAAACACAATTCTCATGTTGTCTTACTCTGCAGCAGGAAGGTGTTGGTGGCTCCGCCAACATTGACCTCCTTGATGTCATCATCTGTGGCCACAGGGTGGTAACGGATGACAAACCGAGATATGTCGCTCGGTGTGGCCACATGCGGGACTGTCCAGGTCACCCTGATGTGATCAGGACCCACTCCTCCAAACTGCAAGTTGGTGGGAGCCGGAATGGCTGCAAGAACGAGGGGGTGAAAGTTACAGCGAACGCAGGAACAACAAAGATGATGATAAATTTGACTGTAGCATGTTGCACGTTAAGAAAAGGGCTGTTAGTGTGACTGCATCAGTTCTCTCAGACTACAACCCACTGATGGAGTGAAAGAGTCAAATCACCAGCTTGTGTTTGCTTTGTGTATGTGGTCGGCTCGCTTTCCCCCTCCTCCGTAACAGTGACGATACTGATGTCATAGTCCACGCCGGGCTCCAAACCGTGAATCGTGTAATAACCAGCAGATGCTTCCACCATATCTTGAAAAATTGGCAAGCTCTCGCCTGATGTAACTACCATTATCCGGTAACCAGTAATGGCAGTATAGTTGGGAGGTATCCAGCGCAGGCCAATGGTGGTGTCAGTAATGTCGACAAAGTCAATTTGACTTGGTGTGGGGATTTCTGAAAGGGTTAGGCCAGTGGTGAAGCGCGGGCAAAATTACACAGACACAGATTCAAAAGCCATAATAATTACACTGATTAAATTAATATCATTCATTTCATTCCAGAGAAGCAGTCAGAGTGTAACAGAGGCCATGCTCGATAGATAATTACAAACTACTTCAGTCAACAAACATCAAGAATTACAGTCATATAAACATATTAAAACCAAAGCAGTGATTAATTATATAGTTCTGGTCATGCAAAGAAATATTTATTCACCATCCCAATTAATGAATATGATCTCCATGCATGGCAGCCAGTGATCATGTTAGTAGTAGCTAATGATAATTAAAGCTGCATCAAACAATGTGTGAGCTGACTTAACTTTTTATCGTCTTTTAACTCATTTTGGTTTTATAGCTTAAACGTCATTTCCAGCAGCAGGAGCTGTTTTCATCAGATATTTTTTTATAATGAGTCAGTGGAAACCAAAATAGTAAAAAGAAATGGGCGTCAGATTAGGTAAGAATGTGTAACTGGGTCATAGGTGCATGTTTTCCGGCTTGTTTCAAAGTTCATTCTAAATTTTGTCCCTAAATTCCAACATGAAGAGGATGATATTACAAGAATAGAGTCGTAATATTATGAAGGAAAAAGGTCAATACTATGAGAATAAGATCAGAGCTTTAGACTGTGTGATTTTAAAGGGGGTTTTCAAACGATCTGCCTGTCGCTTGCTTTAAAATGAGGAATGTGGAGCAATGTGTTAAAATTATACTTTAGTATAAGTATCACAAATAACAAAATACTTCATCTTTTGGCTCATCAGCAAATTGTTGTGAGTATCAGGATTTTGAAAAGACTGAAAGAAACTGAGGAGGAAATGTTTCGTAGTAGTCGACTGTGGAGTTAATGTTGGTCTACGTGATATTTAAAGTTTTTATCTTTATTCTCAATATATACAGACTAATTTCTAAGTCTCTCTCCTTCTCTTTCTTTCACACAGACACTCTTCCTGCTGGCTCCTACCTGGTGTGACAATAGTGGACACGGGCACACTGTCCAAATGGCCCTTTGTGGTGAAGACGCTGATGTTGTACTCCACCCCCAGATCAAGGTTCTCTAGGATCATCGAGGTCTGATCAGGTCGGGCAAACTCCTCGAGGGAGTTTCCTCGCTGGCCGTTGGTCGGCGTGCTCGTCACCCTGTATCCTGTGAAGCCTGCAAAGTGGGTGGATACGTGACAAATATGGAGGAGACGGAACATAATGTCATGAGGTTGAGCCACTGTGAGAAATGAAAGAGAAATACTGGGAAGAACCGTTTGTCCTGGTGCAAAAAAGAAAAACCATTTGAAGGCCAAGGTCTAGACTTGCCGTGATCCAATGGGCTGCCAGTGTGTGGCGAGCACAGTCAATATTTACCTGGTGTTTTGGAGGCTACCCAGTGGACAGTGAGATCTCCTGTGTTCGGGTTGGACTCCACTCTGAGGTCAGTGGGAGGAGACAGGGCTGCAAGGACAGACAAACATGTGAAACTCACGACAACACTCACTTCTGCCTCAAACTTCTGCCGAGTGGTCAGGAACAGTCGCACAAATCTTGTTAAGAAGAAGATTTTTTTTCTCAGTGAGTTAGAAACGCACAAGTGACAACGGTGCGGGTGATGGGGTTTCCACGGTTGCGTCCGTTGAAGATGGGCTGAACGCTGTATGTGTACTGATTTCCAGAAATCAAATCTGGGATAAGAATACGTCCAGAGTCAGAGGTCTCTTCTCTGGGAGACTCGCCTTCCTGGCTGGGCAGCACCGACAGCTGGAGAGAAGGAGGCAAGAATTAGAAAACTTGAAAATAAACAGAATTCTGCAGTAATGGATTTTCATTTTGTTGAGTTGGTGGCAGAACATGTGAGGAGGACATGTTACCAAACTGTTGCCTATTTCCGTACATATGAGCCACAGAATACTATTACATTAGCCAATTACCTCCGCTTTCGTCTGCGTTTGTTAGCAGGATTATGCAAAAACTGCAGGACGGATTATAACGAAACTTGTTGGAAGGATACGGTATGGGTCAGGAAAGAACTTGAATATCGGTACGGATGAGAATGTGACATGTTTAGGGGACTGCGATCAACCCCCTTCACATTGCACCCAGGGATTTGACACACTGACAGTATTAAAATAGTGATTAGAGCAGATTAGCTTTTTTATTCTGTTTCTCTAGATGTTGAAAATGTTTTCTTTACTCTGATGATCGGATGCAGGTTTCTACCTTGTAGCTGAACCTTTGTACAGGGATCCAGGTGATGATGATAGAAGCGTCAGTGACCTCTGTGCTAAAAGGTGGAGCATTTCCCATCTGGGGGGCTGGGCGGAGAACAAAATGGGAGGAAAATGATATTAAAATAATTGCAACAAGTTACACAACTTTCTGCTGATGTTCTGTTTCTCTCAACACTGACCAGTAGTAAAATACGTTTTGACGCCCTCACTGAGCTGGTTGTCCAGCTCAGAGTGCAGAGTGGCAGTGTACTGGGTGTCTGGCCGCAGATTCCTCAGCGGGAACTGAGTGACCCGGCCCGGGATCCTCTTCTCGATGGGGTTGGAGCCCTCGATGCTCAGGAAGAGACGGTAGCCGGTGACAATGGCACGGGGAGCCTCCCAGGTGACCATCGCATTGTCAGGGCCGATGTCAGTGAAGTGAACACTGGTGGGAGAATCAGGTTCTGAAGGGGGCAGTAAATATAAAAGACGTGAGGCAGAAGTTGGTGTAATCTCCCTTTGTCCCTTTAATCTGTGTATGGTGACACCTACTGGTAGACGTTTGTCCAATGAGTGGCTCGCTTTCCACTCCGCCACTGATGGCGTAGATGTAGAAACGGTAGAGTGTGCCTGGCTGCAGGTGGGTGATGTCAGCATATGCGTTGGGGGAGATGGGCAGCTGTAGGGGCCTCGTGTCAGTGCCATCGGGGCCAATGGGGGAGAAGATCACCCTGTAACCAGTCACCTCGCTGGGTGGACCGGTCCAGGTTATGGTGATCATCACATCTGAAACCTCGTAGAACTGCAGGTCTGTGGGCGCCGGGACCACCTCTGTGGACAGAAAGTCATAGATTGAGCGATATCATCCGAGTTCAGACTGTAACGGACCCATTGGTGTTTTTGATCTGTGGTAACACTTTAGAGTTTTTTTGGAGGAAGAGAATGCATTTAGCTTGTTGGTTGGAAAGTAAACACAATATGTTCTAGTGTTAAAAAATCCATCCATCAACTATAACACTCATGCTTTTGTGGGTCAAGCAGGGAGTTGGAGCCAATCCCAGCTGGCAACACAGGTCTCCAGTGTGTCACAGGGCTGAAACTCCATTCACACAGAAGAGTCTCCAATCAACCTGACCTTAACATGCATGTCATTTGACTTTAAATGAACTGTTTAAGTGCTGTACAAGGCAAATTAAATGTACTGTAAAACAATCTGCATTTATGGGTATTATAGAGAAATAAGAGGCTTAAATGAAAATATAAGAGAAAGGTCAAACCAGATGTGCAAAAAGAAACACGGGCAGTGTCTATAGCATCTGGATTTGTTTTTAAGTGTAATAAAACAGCTGGGCCAGGTAGAGGAGGAAAACGTCAGCTATGGAAATCTCATTTAAGAAAATGTATGAACTTTGCGAGCAGCATGTCTGAACCGGTGTGTGTTTCTGAGCCCACCGTGAATTAAAAGAGGGGTCACTCAGGGGCCAATTGTGGCCTCAACATAAGAAGCCCTGGGAAAAAAAAGTACTACGCTGGTATAGCTTTAACTGTCAAAGCATGTTTTGACAAGGTAGTGTTTTGACACGCTCAGTTTTCCCCAAACAGTGAAAAGCCATTCCTAAAGGCCCTATAAGGAATCAGCATCTGTAGGTATAAACTTAATCTGCTCAGCTTTCACTGACGTCCAAAGAATTATCTAAAAATGAAGAATGTACTTTCCAAAGACCAGGATAACCTTCCATGTGCTTACCAGGCAGAGGAGACCCACTGGTGGTGACCTGTACAAACACAGGCTCGCTCTCCTGATTCTCCTCTACAGCGTAGATGCTGATGTTGTACAGAAGGCCGGGGCGAAGGTCAACCAGGGTCACTGAAGTCTCTGAGTCTGGCAGGTTCAGCTCCGTGCTGCTGCCTTCCACTGAAGGCGTGTACACCACACGGTAACCTGGCAGGCACACATACTCGGTTACATCTCTTAATCCAAACCCCTACTTTAAATCGCATATACACACAGAGGGTTTCTGTTTACCAGTGATTGGAGCCTGAGGTTTAGACCAGCTGATTCGAATGGAGGTATCTGCCACCTCACCGACAGCATGCTTGGCAGGTGTGTCAGGAGCTGCGGAAAAGGCAAACCATGGGATTATATATTCTTCTGCAAAAACCTACTCAATTTGCAGGATCCTGGGCCGAGGTTCATCGTGACAACGTGAAAGGGAGGGTGTCTCGTACCTGTGGTCTGAGACGTGGTCAGGATGAGGTTCGGCTGCCCCTGATCTGGGAGCTCGAAGACGTTGACGTTGTACCTGCGTCCTGGCAGCAGATCAGCGATGGTGACAGAGGTGGCCGTGCGGGGAACATCTGGAGAAGCAGATTAAAAACGTATGAAAATTTAACGTATGATATAGGTGTTACTCATGTTCAACAGTAGATATTCCTTAACATTTATTTTCCCTGAGATACATCAGTCAGAACCGCAACAGAGAAACTATACAATTAATCAATTGAATAATATCTATGTGACTTTATTAAAGCATTATGGGGGTTTCAGTGACGGTCTCTCACTCAGAACTTTCGGCTTCGCCCCATCTTCGCTGAGCTCATACTCCACCCTGAAGCCAGAGATGGTAGAAGAGGCTGAGGTCCAGGACACGACGAAGCTGTTTGAGGTGATCTCTGTCACTGACTCTGAGGTGTCCACCTCTGCAGGAAGCTGCGTTGTCTCTCCCTCTGACGTTTCCACTATAAAAGACAACAGGGGGCATAATGGTCATGAGAATATTTGTTTAAATGTGCGGCACTGAGAGAATGTTACCGCTCAGGTCTACTCACAGGAACCGTGGGTAGTAGTGAAATCGAAGCGTGTGATCTCGCGGCGTCCGTAACGCAGGACGCTGATCAGCTGACCCTCGTATGTGATGCCTGGACGCAGCCCACCGATGGTGTAAGAGTTGAGGTGGCCGGGGATGGTGACCTCCCTCCAGGGTGCTCGTGCATTTTTCTACCGGGAAAAAAAGTTGAAATGAAGTTTTACTGAAATATAAGACAAGTGCTGATGAAGTTCATGTTATACAATCAAAAGCTGACGTTATTTCAACAAGTAATTCCAAGCTCAGGAGTGAATGTTTTTAATTGACTATAAACGAGAAAAAACATTTAACATCTACAATTAATTAGGTTCTAAAATATTTAAACAAAAACAAGCTGGTGTGTGTATTTTGGACTGCACACTGGCTCAGATGTGTCTACTGCCACATACTCTGCTTTAGAAGTATTTCAACTGGTTTGCATGCAGTTGGAAAACTTTCTTAGACTTTCTCAGCAGGAGAGCCGGATGAGGACCTTAAGCGACTTTGCCGTCCAAAATACACAAACCCCTTCAAAAGAAATCTGCTCGACTTGAGGAAAAAGACGTGAGAAAATAAAAACCTCTCAGAGAGGGTGGGGATATTTTCCTAAGAAGAGAGAGTTGATCTTAATTATCAAAAGTAATTTGTAACCTGTGTTATGAACCAAAAGATTGACTCACAACTCTCCATTTGAGGATGTACTGGGTGATGTGAACAGATGAAGGGGCGTTCCACTGGATGGGGTGGGAGTCTGGCTGTTTTCCAGCCTCGGTAATGATCACCTGCACGGGTCTGTGGCCGTCTGAGTCAGACAAAAAAAAAAAAGGTTGAGGAGGACATCAGGAGAGAGAAGAATCACACATTGTCAAAGACATACAGTATAATATAGCTGTGTTAGGTGGAGGAGATGGTGTGGGTGAAGGCTGGCTTCTCCTTTTGGTGAGGCACTGTTAGATGGAATCATTGTTTTGGGATTGAACCAAATCACCAGACGGTGCTAAACCAGCTCAAACAACCACCGACATCTTACTCTGACATGACACCTGAGTACTATATTCATCACGGTTTATCTAGCCTCCGCACCCTGAAGAACACACACACACACACATACACACATACAGCATCACAGGAGCATTTCAGGGGATATTAGTGCTAAAGGGACCCGGGTGGGGCCCCACATTAAACCAATCCCTAATATCCCGGTATATAAATTAACATTTTCTTAGATTGGAACTCGTTATCAGCTGTAGTCCAGGTATCAGAATCTGTTTGGGGAATGGAAAATGGAATTGACACATCTCTCACAAATCTTCAAATGACTCTTTTATAAATAAAGGTCACAATAATACAGTTTAAGCTGAAACCTCCACCACCATCCCCGGCACATCATACACACACATTTAGACATTCTAGTCTTCATCCAAACTCTTAAATTTATGAAGCTTTGGGCAAAAAGTCTGTGACACGAGGCCTCATTAGGTTTCAGACCAGGGCTAATTATAGTCTCCTGTGTATAGGCCATAAAAAAGAATTGCCGTTGCTGTGGATTAACCTCATCAGCTGTTGCATTTGCCTGCTTTCCCCTCAAGGCCCTGGTCCGCACACACACTGACACACTCTCCTCTGACGGATCCCGGCGAGATAAATGTTGCAACTGTAACTTTTTCAGGTCAATGTTTGATTCAGGAGCAAAGTATCACATTAAGCAACGTTTACCCAACCAGCATGAGAGATACTGGAGCCAGGAAGTGTTTTTAAAGGCTAAACCCCAACCCCCACCCCCTTGAATAAGCCCAGCATCCCATTCCCATCAGCAGGTCAGCACAAATAACTCTTTACACCAGGCGGGTGAGGAAAAACCTCAAAGACCAACAGGGGCGACGCCATTGCCTGCTCTGCACTTCCTCATTTGACTTCAAAGTGGAGGGGAAAAAAACGACCCCCGCTGACCTGAAGTGAACTTTTCATTTCGGTGACGTGTGACGGGAGGTGTCGGGTGAGAGGGAGGTGGATGTCAGAAAGTGAAATAAGTGCCGCTAACACAAATAAAGCTCTTAACAGCTCAGAAGCAGCTGGGAAATAAAAGCCAGACTAGTGTTGTCATTAAAATAATACTCCTTATTCGGTCATGACGACTGCTGGTCATTACTGCTGCATCATCATGTCGTGTGCAGGGGTTTTCAGGATTAGGGTCTTTCACCCCTGATTGAGTGAATCTCAATTATGTCATGTTTGATTTTCACAACTAGAAAACAAAGCGTAGATTCAAATAAAATCTTAACTTTTTGCTCATTTGTTCAAGTTTAAACTTACTATATGTAACTCCAGCCGCTGGTGGTCTTGTATTAAAACAATAATGAAAATATATAGTTTGAAGAAGCAGCGTGTGACAACATAAGAGTAAAGACAACTAACACAAGATGACTTTAATTCTCACTCTGAGGAAAACCTCCAACATCAGGGTTTATAAAAAAGATGTGAAGTTATATGTAGAATATTTTTGCTGTGATTTAAGTAGATCTATAAACATGATGGACATCACAAACATAAAAACACCTTCATCGAGCTAAATCTAAAAAAGAGTTTCTCTGTGTCTGTGTGATCGGACTTGACTGAGTTATGACCCTGCAGACGAGACTCTGTTTAACTTCTGCATCAGCTTTGTTGTTTATTTAACTGAAAAACCAACATAATGTGGCTCATATGACTTTGCATGGTGCAAATTCAAGTCTGCACTCGGAGAAACTTTGAAGTGACGATGTTGGGAGGATTCTTTTTCCTACCTTGGTACGTCTGCTGGGGTTCACATCTCATCTCGCCGATCCCGTTGCCGTAGCAATAACAGCGGTATTGGATGCCATGGATTACCTTGTCCCAAGCCTCTCCGATCTGATGGAACTCCCTGGTTTGCGGCTCCTGACACTGATCTGTTGGTGAAAACACAAGACGACAGAGATGGTAGCACGGAACAGAGAATGGTGGGGCAGTAATTCCTCAGCTGCTAAAAAGCCTTGAACGCACCGACAGCGTCACACTTCCAGCGTCCACGTCCCTGCCCGAAACAGGTGCAGTTCATCATGTAGCCCTCGTCGTGGCGTTTGGAGAACTCTTGGTTTACTTCATAGGTGAGGCTGTCAACAATACACTGATCTGCACATGCAAGGGAGGAGGGAGACAAGAACACGCATGTCATGATCTCATGTCCGATCATGTGACTTCTGTTGCTATGACTTAAACAGTTTTGTTGGAGTTCGCTCTCTGACCTTGCAGCTGTGAGTGAGCAATGCAGCTCCACTCCCCACGGCCGTTACCCAGGCACGTGCACTCCATCATGTGACCCATGATGTCGTGGCGTTTGTCCCACTTGTCGCCAACACGGTGCATCACTCCATCGTTGGTGGTACACACCTCCTCATGGGCTGCATGAAGAAGACATGAAGAAGAAAGAAAAACAAGGAATAGTTGACTGCTCTGTCGACTTGCTGTATTTGTGCGTGTGTGAATTCTCCTCGGCCCACTTGAGCTCAGTGCTGTGAATCTGTGTGTTATGTAACAGCCTTAATGGAGTCATTACTCTCCCATGAATGTTCTTTCCTCTGAAAGTCAGTAATTTAGTCCCAAATTGTCCACAAGTGACCCAAACAACCAGCATCATTACCATCCATCAGAACAAGATAAGGACCAAAGCATTTAGCGTGATGCCCTACAAAGACAAAGTATTTAACCCATGTTAGTATAGCATATCTACGTTTCTGAGTTAAACCATATTACCCATGTTCCCTGAGAATAAATGAGATGAAAGCCGGTGGTTGATTTTACTTATGGTGCATGACTGCGTGGTGTGGAGGAACTGAAAAGCAGTGGGCGCACACTCACCGGCCATGGGGCAGAATCCAAAGTGCTGCTCTGTGTCGTAGTTGTAGGTGGTACCACACCACCTCATGCCATCACGGCGTCCGTCAGCTGTGCAGTCGGTGTAATTGCGTCCGCTGTAGAGGAAGGGGAAGTGGCACAGGGCGCCATTGGAGTTTCCACCTCGTGTTGCCACAATGGCTGGAATCAAGAAGGAGACACAGCTGTTATTGTTCATCTCTAACATGGTTACCATTTTGTACAATTTTGTGTTTTGGCATTCAAGCATTCACACACACATCACTGAGTTTGGGGGATGGGATTTGTGAAAGATTTCCGAATGTTGGCACTGATATTCTTATCCATCCAACACCTTTATATTGGTGGTGGACAGTACCATTACTTTAGGGACGAGGTCCCACATCAACCCAATACAACAACAAAAGTTTGTGTCTCACCATTCCTCTCAGTACAGAAGGAATACTGCTGGTCTTTATCATAGTCTGAGGATGTAGAGCACCAGAGCTGCCCGTCTGAGCGTCCGTCTGAGGTGCAGGAGTAGTAGGTCTTCCCCATGAAGACGAAGGGGAGCTCACAGGGCTGGCCGTTAGAGTTCCCACCATACGCGTGGTTTCTGTTCTCTGCGCAGGAAAGAGAGGAAAGAGAGGAAAGAGAGTAGAAAGGGATTTGATCTTTTTAAAGACGTTTTGAACAAAAGGAAACTGGGACCCCTGCTTTTCGTCCCTCTTTCTTGCGCTCACCCCATTCCTGACAGCTGACGCCGTTGCCCAGACAGGTACATTGCATCTGCTTGCTGCCCTGGTTTCTGATCCAGCGCTGCCCGTCGTAGTAGGTGGCTCCGGAGTCTGTGCGGCAGGTTCCCTCCATGGGGGGATCGATACGCTTCTGGAGCACGGTGTGGGTGGGGTTCAAAACAACAGCCCCTGTGGCTGTGCAACACCAAAGTCGATTGAGAGAAAGATGGATGTCAGGGAAGCTTTTTCCATTTAGTGAACACTTTTAGCAAAACTGAACTTGAACAAGAGTAAAGATTTTTAATCTCACTTCGGCCTGCATTGTGTCTTTCACACTTCAACTCTCCACGGCCGTTTCCTAAGCACAGACACTGAAGGGGATTTCCACTTGGGTCTGTCTTGGTCCAGGTGTCTCCGATGCGGTACGCCCTCTTGGGGTCCTGGTCATTGCAGCGATCTGATGGCAGAAGAACGGTCAACAGCTGCCAATCAAGTATGAAAAAGTGTGTGTGTGTGTGT